GGCCGTATTGCAGTTCAAATGGCTCAGTACGGCCGTACTGAACCTCTAGGAGGGTGTATTGAGCTCCAATCCTTGCACACCCTTATTTTAAGCTATTCTAAGACTTCTAGACCTACAAAGAATCATCCTAGGGTCTTCCAGGAGTCCTTCCGGCTGACTTTCCTTCGGTCTTTGAGAGTCTTTGAGCTTTATTTCCGACCCGGACAATTTTAGGGGTCTACACACCTTTATGAGTAATCCATTACTCACCTTGCCTTGGTGCTCCCTTCTTCTGCATTCTTCTTCCTTCTTTCCGTCTTCAAGGTTCTTTCTAGCTGGAATTTTCGTCTAGCCACTTCAAGGAGAAGATCAAGTGGCTGGAGCAAGCTTAAAGGTGAAAAACATTCATCCTCCTCACCTAAGTTTGCCATCACAGCCTAGAGAGGCCAGCATAATAATACTCACCATCAGCAACTAGCCTGGAGAGATCGGCATAACAATACTCACAATCTTAGCAACCAGCTTGGTGAGGTCGACATATACTCACAATCTCAACAACCGGCTTGGAGAGGTAGACATAACAATACTCACAATCTCGGCAAATGGCCTAGAGAGGCCGACACAACAATACTCACAATATCAGTAGCCAGCATCACAAATGTACTCAACATCAAGAGTAGTAAAGGTTGCTAGACCCTCAAACTAGTATAAGAGCAATACGGGTTGCTAGAGCCCAAAAACTAGTACAAGAGCAGTAAGGGTTGCTAGAGCCCCAAAACTAGTAGAAAGTTATATATAGTTGAACTGCTAACAACATAAACATGGAAAGAAAACATTGGTGGTTACGGTTTGAATTAACATGTTAATGCGATGAATCATTGTATAAAGTTTATACTAACTTAATAGTTTATGGCTGCCAGTGATGGATGATAGGCATGCATTTTTATCCCTTTTCAAAAATTTCATCATACTATGTTAAGTTTTTGTTTAATTGCAATTTTACTCTTCGAGTAATTATGCCATTTTCTTATGTTCAAAATTAATTATGACAAGAACTATTGGATCAACCTACTAGTTAGATTATGGTAAAATATGCAATGGCTTATTTTAACCTTTCTAATCTTTGTAAGAAAAAGATTATGACTGATATTTAATAGAAGAAGTTTACGTGACAACTTGGGTGTTTACTTGGCACTTATAGATATAGTTGATAGTGTTTAGTGTACAAAATTTGACTAGGACAAAATTTAGTTATAATTTTTTTTTATGTATAATTAATATTGTTCTTTGATTAAAATTAAAGTTTTATTTTATTATTATATGTTTTTATATATAAATATAGATATAAAAAAAAAGGAAATCAAAGAATAATAGAGATTGAAAATTGAGGGTGTGCTTCCTATCATGAATGTGTGTGAAAGAGTCCAATACATGTAATTGTAGCATAAGACTTTCTCAATCTACTTATCTGTATTTGGATGTGATCAAAATATCTATCATCTTTTATATATATAGGTAGATAGATAAAATAAAATAAAATAAAATAAAGATAGAAATCTAAATATAATATAGATTTTAAAAAAAATTGAAAGGATAATTACTAAAAAAGAGTTTTTAATTACTAATAACCCGAGATTGTGATGTGGGTATCGTGACCTTGGTTAACATGTCAGGGGTGAGCACGACCCTAGGTTAGGGTTAACGTGACCTTGGCACAGTGTTATATCAGGGGTGAGCACGACCTTAGATTGTTATGTGGGTATTGTGACCTTGAATAACATGTCGGGGGTGAGCACGACCTTGGGCTAGATATGCTACAGGGGAATCGTAACCTTGGCACAATGTTATATCAGGGGTGAGCACGGCCTTGAATTGTTAACTGGGTAGCATGAACAACTTATTTACAATTGTTCTTTCCTACAATTTCTCTTTCTTAAATATTGATATTAGTATCTCAAATTATTCCAAAGATAACTAACTACTTAAAGGGTAAGACAATTCACCAATACTCTTCAAATTATCTTTTCATTTCTCAAACTTTTATGATCTTATATGGTCTAAACATGAAATATACCTATAATATCAAGTTAATCTTAATTTAATTAAAAAATTAATATAATTATTTACAACTTCTATTTCAACATCAAAAGTTAATTTTACTGTCTATTTTTTTTTTTGAAATTACAAAATTGCATTCGTTAAGTATAAATATGATAATTTGATCTTTATTTATTAATTTGATCATAATCTAAATTCTAAATCTCATTTTTAGATAATTATAATATCATTGAAAAACTAACATGAGAACTACTATTATTATCAAAATAACACAACATAATTCGATCATAAATAAAAAATTTTGTAATTCTAATTTGTATTTAACATGAAATGGATAATGATATGATATAACCCTTTATTTATAGATAAAATTATATACAGCATTCCAAACATTTTACATCTATCAAATTGTCAATTCATTTCGAACGTCGACTCGTTGAGCTAATTCTTTGAAATCACATTGCTTCATTCTCATGTTTTTCTTCTCTAACAAAAGAAAACAATACACATATATTTTATTTAATTATTTAAAATAATAAAACAAAATTAAAATAACAAAACGTTCAACCATCATTATTGATTTTCCGGGAGCGTTTCCTTTCGACAACGCAACATCGATGACATTACAATTTACAAAGGATTATTAAAAGCCCTGCAACTCCTTCTAATCTCACCTTCATCCCCAACCAAGGCCCCAATAGTCCCCATCTTCACTATGGCTTTTGCAAACTTCTCCTGAAACGAGGTACCATTCGCCGCAAAACTCTCCACCATGTTCCTCGACATTTTGTCCAACGCCAATTGCTGATCAATGTGGAGTATCCCTCTCCGCATCATCACTTCGTTGTAGAACCCATTGTCGAACAAAAACGACGAGTTTTGGTCCAAAAACACTCTAGGGTCGCTCAACACTGCCCTATCGAGCCCACAAATCTGCACCAGCGTCGCGGCCAAGACAGGGTCCATGGTGGGGTCCACTCCCCCTCCAACGTTCGAGAGCCTGTTCTGGAACACGCTGCAGTGAGCGAACCCTACGGTGTGCGCTCCCAAGAGGGTCACCATGTCCGCTAGGGTTAACCCTTTTGCGGTGAAGAATTGAAGGGCACCGGGTACCGAGAGCGATGGTGAGGGAAGGTTGACGAGTGAGGGATCAGAGAGGAGACCGTCTCTTCTTCCCGTGGGGACGCTGTACCGGATCCCTCCGGCGAGCGCCACGGCGTCTCGCGTGGCGAGGGCCAGGATGTCTGCGCATGAAACTGTTGAAGGGCATGCTTGCTCTATGAGTATTTTGGCTTCGTCGATAAGCTCGAATTCGCGAACCGTTTGGTTTGGTCCTGCAATTTTCTCCGATGTTCTTGTGCTTGTTGGATCGATTAGTAAAGAAGCGTCGCAGCCCTGAAACCAAAATGTATGAGGTTGTTTTGGATAAAATTCTAAATATGTAAGAAAAAAAATTGAGATAAATTTTATTATATGTTAAAATTAGAATGTTAATAATTTAAAAATATGATGAAAAAAGGTAATAGGAGAAATTTTTTTATAAATTAATTAGTTTATTTTTAGGCCAATTTTAGTATGTAAGATTTTTTTTCTCTTTATTTTTACTTTCTAGAAATATTTGTGACGAAATTTATCCAAATAAATTTTTATATATTATAACAATAAATCTAAGAATTCTTAATACTATAAAGTTAGTTACATATATAAACTCTTAATGATGAAAATTTATTTGGTTGATTATAAATGTTTCTAAAATTATTTATATATAAATGTTACTTTGAGAATCAATGATTTTATTGCATTAAATAAGAAAAATAAAGTTAATGTAGAGTTTTACTGTATTAAAAAATTATTTTTAACTTGAAAAGTTAGTTTCGCACATGCAATTAAGAATAATTTTGTAAAAATATTTATGTAAAAATCATTCTTGAGAAATAATATTTTGTATAAATATTATTTTTTAAATAACAAATTAAACATGAGAATCTAAGAGTGTGCTTGGTTTCAAAAAATATTTTCTATTTTTATTTTTAAAAATAATTTTTATTTTATAAATTTGAAATTTAGAAAACATGTTTGATTTGATTATTTTCAATAAAATTTTATAACATGTTTTTATTATAAAATTTACAATCAAAATTACACTATTTATATATGAATTATAATAGTCTTTTATGTTGTAAATATTTTACTCTTTTTACTCTATATTGGTTCATTCTCATTTGAATACTTTTCTCATAATAAGTAAATTTCACTATAAAAATGCTCAAATATCCGTTACATATATATATATATATATATATATACATAATCAAATGAATAATTTATTATCTAATAAGCAATAATTATATTTTAAAATGAAATATATATTTTATCTTTATAAATAATATATATGTATGTATATGTGTGTATAATTGATATTACTTATTTTAAAATTTAACAAACAAAATTAATCACATTAAATATTAATCATATTTAATAAATAATAATTAATTAAAATAATTAAATAATATAAACAACATATGTAATTAAAATTTTATAGAATAATTATACCTAATAAATCTTATAATATTAATATGTAATACATATGCAAGTATCAAATAAAACTTTTCAGAATACAAAAGAAAATTTAAGACAAATAAATTGAATTACATGTATAAAAAAAAAAAAAGCTTATTAATTTGTGTGTGCATGACTGCAAACTTAATTAAAAACAAGTTTATAATTTTTTTTAATACTTATCATCACATGTCACCGCGTTTTTAAAAATGCAGAAAATAATAAAAATAATAATTTTTTTTCATGTTCTATTTTGGACTTCCTTTGAAAACATTTTCAAAGAAAACATTTTCTAAAGCTAAAAGTAAACACATGTTTATACTTATTTTCTATTTTCTTTAAAAATAAAAATAGAAAATGATGAAATCAAATAGGTCGTAACATTTTTTAACAATAGATTCTTAAGAACTAAAAACTTTTTATGTACTAAACGTCTACACTAAATTTATCATTGACATGATTTTAATTGAATAATGCTATATTTACAACAAAATGTACAATTTGTAAAAATTACTTTTGTGTCTATCTTTTCATTATTAATAATATTATTTTTCATAGTATATAAATTAATGAAAAAAATAAACACAATAATATTATATAAATTGTTGTATATTTTTTATTATACATATAGCTTTACTTTCTAAATTTAGGTATGAATCACAATTGTGACGGCAATACAAAGGAGTTTTACTCACTGCCGCATCACAACCCTAATTTCAGTTGCATCATGTGTATTTTCCTCTAATTTTCCACAATATCAAAAAATTATACCCAACCAAAATTACGATAACAACCACAGTTTAGAACCACATAATTTTTTAAATCAATGTTTTAAAAAGAAAACATCAATATTTTGGGGGCTATCCGAATCCGTAATTTCTCACAATGTTAAGAATTGGAACGAAATTATTATGACTGTAATTTAAAGCTTTCCTTAATATTGTGGTTTAGACTGTAATTTGAAACCAGGGCTAGACCATACATCATTTAACACAGAATCTAACTTGACTAATTCGATCTATTGCACAAAAATTGTGTGTAAATATGAACTAAGATTGTGCAATGAGTATAGTTTTGGTCAATTGGTCTTACTTTAACAAAGCAATCATGAAAGTGCATGCGAAGCAACGCTGCGGCAATGGATTTATCCTGGTTGAAACGCTTTTGCACAACGTCACGTACGATAGTCTCTGCGCTTGGACAGGTTGAGCTATAGAAGCCAACGCGTAGTTCAGCAAATGTGAACGGAAGAACAAAGAAGAAGAAGATTATGATGGTAGTGATCTTCATTTTTGACTTTGTGGATTATGATTCCCCCTTGAGTCTCTTGCAAATGCTATATATATTAATAACATTGTTTTATTTGGTAAAAGTCTTGGTGGAGCATGGCATTGAAGTTTCTTTTTTATTTTCTTCAATTTTTCCGAAAACAATTGTTTGAGATATTTAAGGAGGTGATGCATACAGCTACGTTGTATTTCTTGTCTGGATGCTTCAAAGTTAACGCGCGGTTGCGTAAACATTTTACTTTTTCCATATAACAGCATTCAATTAATACTTCGATATAATATAATGTCAACTGGCTAACGTTTTTGACCGTAAAACATGCCGTAAAAAGATATGTCTTATAAGTATGGAAGCTCTTAAATATGTTTTTAATTTTTATAATTTGGATTTAGATTATTATAATTCTTTTTATAAAATTTATAATTATTAATTTTAGTTTATGTTAAGAGCATCTGCAGTAGGAGTTGCTTATAAGCAACTATTGTGCCACATCAAGCCACATTAGCTTTTTTCCACTTTTTATTTTAAGTACCGGAACTTCTACAAACAACTTTGCTAAAATTTAAGTAACCCTTAAATAATGAAAAAAGCTGATATGACATGATGTGGCACAGGGGATTTCTTACTACAGATGCTCTTATATACTTTTTTTTTTTAATTTGTGTGTTTATTAAAAAAATTAAGTGATTATCTCATGTGTCACTTATGATTATTAATAATATTATATTAGTGAGTTACATCTGTAATTTTATTTTCTTATAAATTCTTAAAAAAAATATTATTTATCTACTTTAAAATTATTTTTATAGATAAAAAATAATAACTTCAAATTTATAAAAAAAATTAAAATAAAAAATATTTTATAAGAATTATAATCAAAATTATAAAAATCAAATTAAAAAATTATTTTTTACTAAAAATATATTTAAGTCTTATGAAAAAAATGCTACTTGGTTGATTTATTTTTCTGGGTGCAATTATGTTCTTTTCGAATGAAAATTAAATTTACTATTATTAGAAGATCTTTAAATAAGTGATGGAGTAAAGTTAGTGCTTCTAGTTTAAAGCCGAAACATTTGTCACTTATTGTCGGCAAGGCTTTGAACCATTACCGACTCGTCACAAACTTGTTCACGTGTCATGTAAAAGTGGCTAACTCTATACATGTTATAAATGATACTTGTTATGAAAGGAATACATTTAGTAAATTATTATAACATTTATCTGTTAAAAAAAAAAATGTGCCGGAGGTGTCCTATCGGTCACGTGAACCAACACGTGTCGTCCTGTCAGACACCCACGTGGACTCAGAACACGATTACGACCATGCTAATGCACATGACCATTAACAGCATTAACATCAGCTCGGCACGTAGCCGAAGGCCGAGAGAGCTCAACATCAACCCCGGCTCGGTTAAAGACCGGTAAGAAAAGCCATAGTGGCATGATGAGGCTCCGTGTGCCCTACGTATCGGCTCGGCTGAAGGCCGAGAGCTGGGCATGACCCGACAAATACCAATCGGCCTGGCCAAAGACCGAGGACAATCAACACCTAAGCCTTTATGTATCCGCTCGGAAAGGAGCCGATAGATAAAGGCAAGGATTACGGCAGTGATCACGATTAACAAGGACAAACGCACGATTAAGGTATAATCAGCCGATTAACGTTGTATTACCTAATTTGGTAAGCTTCAGAAGAGGCCCACTACTGGCAGGGCCCATCAAAGGTAGTATAAATAGGTCACTTATAACGAGGTACGTCACTGTTCATTTATTACTCTCGAGAATCGTGCTTGTCCTGACTTGAGCGTTGGATGCCTTTTGCAGGTACCTCCCCCCTCTAAAGTATCCACCTGAAGCTCACGTTCGGCCCTTCTACCCACCAGAAGATTACGAGTGTACCCTCAGACAGGTACATTTTGGCGCCCACCGTGGGGTCGAACCGATAGCTTTGAAAAGACGGACTAAGTACTATTTTGAACAGAATCATTATGGCGAAGACAAGGAGAACGAATGCTGAAGACCACCAATTCGAGGATGAGCACCGATCCGAGGTAGACAATGCCAAGACGGTCAATGAGACGAACCTGGCCAAGATGGTACGACAGATGAAGGAGGAAATGGCCGCCATGAAGCAAAAACGAGAGAAAGACGCTCGTGAAATGGCCGCCCTGAGAGAAGAAAACGCTGCCCTAAAAAACCAACATCAAGATCCCACGTGGAAACCCTCCAAGCCGACCCACACCCATGGGTCGTTCCACTCACTCGGACATCACACCTCTATCCCTCACACTTCTGCTGCCGCCCCGGGCATCCACACTTCGGCCCTGCAGGCGCCCGGCCGACCGATACACGCCGTCTCGGCCGGAGTACACCGACACCCCTTCACCCCAAACATCATGCAATCTTCCCTTCTCGACCATTGGAAGTCCCTGCCATTGGACAAATACGACGGGACGACCGATCCCGACAAGCATGTGGATGTTTTCCTAACCCAAGTTTCCCTGAGCACTATTGATGACGTTGCATTGTGCCGAATCTTCCCGACATCATTGAAAGGGCGTGCACTTAACTGGTTCACTAGACTCCCACCCAACTCGATCGACTCGTTCAATACCTTGGCATCTTAATTCACTATCCAATTTGCTACGAGCCGACCCCACCAGCTGACTTCTTTGGCCTTAGTAAGCATTCGACAAGAGAAGAAAGAGTCCCTTTGGACGTTCATGAGCCGATTCAATAAAGCGGCACTCGAAATTCGAGACTTGAATCCCGCTGTAGCCCTCCACCATCTGAAACCAGGACCTTTCGCCAACAAAATTTGCAAAAAGCCACCAACTGACATGGATGACTTGCGTCTGTAATACCCATTTTTTTATTATTAATTATCAATGGCATGTTTAGAAAAAATGGTGAGTTTAACATAATTAAGATTTGTTTTTCATTTTATAAACATGATTTATTATTTGAAGCTTTGAAACGCATGCACTTTTTTTTCTCTATAATTCTTGTCTTTTATATATTTAGTTTACGCACACATTAAGTGAACCTTAGTTTCTCATTTGAGATTTGATGGAATCATGCTTTGGAGTGCAAGAGGTGACATACTCAAAGAATCAAGAGGAGTTGGCTAGACATGAAGGTTTGAGCCTGTCAGGGCCCATCGGGCCCATTGGGTCTAGGAAGGCCCAAGTTGAACTTTTCATGGGCCATATTTTGTTATAGCTATTTTCATATGTTTTGTATACATCATGTTAGTATAGGTATCATATATTTTGGTCTTGTATTTTGGACCATATAGAGTAGCATTTTAGGTTATAGGCTAGTTGGGCCTAGTTTTGGGCTTCATGGGCCTTTGGGCTTTTGGTACCCAATATTGGGCTCATTTTCATTCTTGTAATTTTTCCTTTCCATTGTA